TACACACAGAGAAGTGTCAAAGGAGACAAATATTTACTCTTGGAACCATAATAACTCTAGAAAGACTTCTTGGGATACTATGCCCAAGAAGTCAGTAAACTAAATAACAACGCTGGAAACATTTCATTTCCCGAAAAAATAGTACCATAAAACAAATAAATAGAAACATATACATTTGTTAACTTTTACTTTAATTGTTTTTTGTGCATATCTTTGGAAGGGTTCCCTTTACTCCCTAAACTCCCCCACAAAAGCTGATGCCTTTACATTACTTCAAAATACTTATTACAAAAAAAAGAATCAGAGTTGAGTGTTAGTGGCTCAGACAGATATTGTATCAAATAAAATAAAAACAAGCAGACAGAAAATTTTCCCAGGTAATATTTTCTTCTTTGTTTAGTGCCTTAGTTTATTTCAGCAGCCCATTTAGTCTAATTAAAATGAATCAACTACTCCTTTAGAATTATTGGTGCTACTAAAAATCTAAAACTAAAACAAAACCCAGAGGTGATACGAACCCTCAACACTAGAAATGGAAGCCTTTTTTCAAAGAGTGGGAAATAAAATTAACTCACCATTACATGCCATATTTTCATTTCTGTGCAAGTCACAAATGAATCACTCATCAAGAAGACAGCAAGTTATACTGCTGTTAGTCTGTTCATTCACAGAGCCTCCACTTTCAGTTTAGAAGAGGCTTAATGAACAAAATGTCCTTCCCCCCTTATATGTCTAGACATTCATTTAATCTAATTTTCTTTCTTTCTTTCTTTCTTTCTTTCTTTCTTTCTTTGTTATTATTTTTTTGAGTCGGAGTCTTACTCTGTTGCCCAGGCTGGAGTGCAGTGGCACATTCATGGCCACCGTGGCCTTGACTTGCTAGGCTCAGGCAATACTTCTGCCTCGGCCTTCCAAGTAGCTGGAACCACAGGCGTATGCTACATGCTCGACTAATTTTTCTTGATTTATTGTAGAGATGAGGTCTCATCAAGTTGCCCAGGCTGGTCTCAAACCCCTGGGTTCAGACAATCCTCTTGCCTCAGCCTCCCAAAGTGCTGGGATTATAGGCATGAACCACTGTGCTCAGCCAATCTAATTTTCTAATCTAAGAAATTTTCTAATCTAGATATTCATTTTTTAATCGAGACATTCCTTTTCTAATGCCTCACTCTAAATCAAAATAAGGTCATGCATCTATACCATTTTCACTAGGAAATCTTTTTTTGATTCAGTTGACAACCTCTGGTACTGGTCATATTTTCTTATGCTCTCTAGTAGAACATAAAGCTAGACTTACAAATAATGTAACACAGAGTCTGAAGTAGTCAAGAACCACAGGCTATTTAAAAACTTAAAATTCACTGCTTGCTGCTAATATAATTTCTTTTGGGTCCCCAAAAATATTTTTTAGGTCACAGACTGAATTGCAATGCATATTTAATCCCCTTAAATAAGCTGGTAATTTTAAAATGATAATGTAACAAAATATAACAGAAGATTGAACAAAACTAATGTGGGACAGAAACATAAAGCTAAAAAAATGAATTTTTTTTTTTTAGTTGGAGTCTCACTTTGTCACCCAGACTAGAGTGCAGTGGCCGCTTCCGGCCACTGCAGCCTTGACCTTCTGGGTTCCAGCGATCCTTCCGCCTCAGGGTTCCAAGTAGCTGGAACTACAGGAACGCGTTACCATGCCTACCTACTTTTTGATGTATTGTAGAGATGAGGTCTCACCAAGTTGCCCAGGCGGGTCTCAAACCCGCGGGCTCAGGCAATCCACTCACCTCAGCCTTCCAAAGCGCTGGGATTACAGGCTAAGCCACCGAGCCCGGTCAAAAAATTAATTTTTAAAAATACTACCATTTCATTTATTTTTTTAGAAAGTGCCATTACACCCTTTGTAAGCATGTACTAATGGAAATATACAAGGTAAAAGTAACACTCGTTAAATGTGCCACCTTTCTAACAAATCAAATAATAAAATGGGCAAAGAAAACACCATAACTACAAAACTCATATTAGCAATTAAGCCTCAAAATTCTCTCCCAAAGCTCCTTTTCCAAGTTACTAGTAAAAATTATGATGAAATCTTAGTTCGATATATTTCACTGAATGACTTTCAAACTTTTTTTTAAACCTCAACCTACAATAAGGGAATACACTTATCATTTTGACTGAATGCACACACACAACACACGCACACATACCCTTTTGAAACACAAGTTTTATGGAATAACAGTGGCCACTGGCATAAATGGCTGGCTGTCCACAAAATCGATTCTTCCCTTCTTCCTTATAATAAAGTATAGGAGGCACATAGCTGCTCAGCTAGAAACTACATCTCCCAGCCTGCCTTGTTGCTAAGTGTCACCACACAGCTAAGATTTGCCAACAGAAAGTGAACAGAAGTGAGGTATGACACCTGCAACCTGGACCTCAGGCATGGCATGGATGTTCCTTTCACACTCTCGCCGTTTTGAAGGAGCTAAAAAACTGACTAAATCTTTTTCTATTGTGGGAAATGAGTCAAATATAAAATTATATAAAATCTGAGCAGCCGGGCTCAGTGGCTCAGCCTGTCATCCCGCGCCTTTGGGAGGCTGAGGTGAGTGGATCGCCTGAGCCCGCGGGTTCGAGACCTGCCTGGGCAGCGAGACCTCATCTCTACAATAAATCAAAAAATCAGCCGGGCGTGGTAGCGTACGCCTGTAATTCCGGCTACTCGGAAGGCGGAGGCGGAAGGATTGCCGGAGCCCAGCAGGTTGAGGCTGCGGTGGCCGGGAGCAGCCACTGCACTCCAGTCTGGGCGACAGAGTGAGACTCCAACTCAAAAATTAAAAAAAAAAAAAAAAAAAAAAAATATATATATATATACACACAAGCTGGTCATGGTGGCTCACACCCGTGATCTCAGCACTCTGGGAGGCCAAGGCAGAAGGATCACTTGAGCCCAGAAGTTTGAGACCATCCTGGGCAACATAGTGAGACCATATCTCTATAAAAAATAAAATTAAATTCACTGGGCATGGTGGCACGCACCTGTAGTTCCAGTTACTCAGGAGGCTGAGGTGGGAGGATTGCTTAAGCCCAAGAGGTCAAGGATGCAGTGAGCCGTAATAAAGCCACTGTACCCCAGCCTGAGTGACAGAATGAGACACTGACTCAAAAAAAAAAATACACATATAGGCAAGCAACCTAATAACCATTTACCCTTACAAATAGTTTTTAAAAGAATTTTAGATGCTTAATATTTTAAAAGGTAGCATATTAAAGGATGACAATGACAGATTATATAACTCATTGACTGAAATAAGAATCCGTGAGTGCACACTGGTTTGAATAAAGACATAAATAAGGGAGAAGGGAAAGCACTTTCTGATAATAGAATGCCAATTAACAAATATAAAATGAAGGCTGAAATTTAAAAACCACCCTATGCCAACCAGGCTCATTGGCTCAGTCAGTAATCCCAGCACTTTGGAAGGCCGAGGCGAGTGGATTGCCTGAACCCGTGGGTTCAAAACCAGCCCGGGCAACTTGGCAAGACCTCATCTCTACAATAAATTAAAAAATTAGCCGGGCATGGTAGTGCACACCTGTAGTTCTGGCTACTTGGAAGGCTTGGGTGGAAGGATCGTCTGAGCCCAGCAGATCAACGCTGGGGTGGCTGTGAGTGTGCCACTGCACTCTAGCTGGGGTGACAGGGTGAGACTCCAACTCAAAAAAAAAAAAAAAATCACCCTATGCCAACCATCACTGTAATAACTGAGTCATGAGTTGTCAATGGATGCTAAAACTAGTAGAAAGTTTACTGAGAAGCAGGATTTTTTGATCGTCTCAGAGTATGTCCCCCAAATCTACTAGTTAAATACAAAGAGAAAAACTGTAACTTAGTGAAAAACCTTACAGGTATCACCTCAGAAAGTTAAATACCATCACCAATAATGTGATGGACTGAATTCTGTGACTTCTGACAGACATGATGACTACAGGCAATGTGGGATCCACACTGGATCCCAAGCCAGAAACAAATTTTTGTTCTTTTTATTTTTCCTATAAAGAACACTACTAGCCGGGCTCAGTGGCTCAGCCTGTAATCCCGCGCCTTTGGGAGGCTGAGGTGAGTGGACTGCCTGAGCCCGTGGGTTCGAGACCTGCCTGGGCAACTTGGCGACACCTCATCTCTACAATAAATAAAAAATCAGCCGGGCGTGGTAGTGCGCGCCTGTAGTTCTGGCTACTTGGAAGGCTGAGGCGGAAGGATCGCCGCAGCCCAGCAGGTTGAGGCTGCGGGCCCAGGAGCGGCCACTGCACTCCAGTCTGGGCGACAGAGTGAGACTCCAACTCAAAAAAATAAAAAATAAAAAAAGAACACTACTGAAACAACTGGCAAAATTTGAATAAGGTCTATAGATCTGATAAAAGCACTGCGTCAATGTTAATTTCCTGAATGTCCTTGTTTTAGAAAATACACATTTAAGTGTTAATGGGGAAAGGAGTACCATGTCTGAACTTATTTCCAAATGGTCCAGAAAAAAACCAACTAGTAAACAGACAGATAACGTAAAGGTGGTAAAGTGATAACCTTAGGGGAATCTGGGTGGAGGGTATACATGATTTTTTTGTACTTCTCTTGCAACTTTTCTGTAAGTATGAATTATCTCAAAATAAACATTAAAGCAATTTAAAAATAATAACAGGTAAACAAAGCCTTAGCTAAAACATAAGAAAAGGGATAATTAAAGAGAAAATTACAGCTGTCCATGATGGGTACAATTCTGGATTAATTATTCATGTGTTTGAACTATTACTGCTATCTTTCTTCTAAGAATATTGGGGTACTTTACACTTTCTATTTCCCTCAATTTACAGATGAAAAAGTAGACAAGTAGAAAAGCTCCCAAAATGTGGTGAGTTGATTTTGGAATGGAGACAAAGAAATTTGATAGCATGGTGTTAAGATGCGATACAGCTAAACACAGCAGAAGGTATCCATTTACCTTGCTCTATTGTAAATCACTGGCTCGTTTTCTTCCTGCACAGTGGTCAGCATGTCCAAGTCATGGAATATTTTCTGCATATAGTCCAAATATTTATATCCTGAAGCTCTTTCTACTATGGCTGCCAGTAGGGTATAGCCAAAAGTTGAATACAAAAACTGACTACCTTGAGACATCATCACAAGGGGGAAAAAAGAAAATGCCTGGTTATTATTTTAAAATGTGTACAGTATCTTTCAACTGGCACACCTTTAAAACTGGAATATTTTACTTTCACATTTAGAAAAAAACATAGGAGAGATATCAGTGCATTTAGTTAACACTGCAATAACCCTGCTCAATCCATGTACCTAACACAAGAATAACATGATCATCAATACATTTAACATTTCACATCAATTTGCTCCCTTCTCTGATCATAGGATAAGCAAATAAATTCCACCCAAAACAACAACAAAAAAGTGTCTCAAACTGGCAACAAAACAGGAAGGGGAAGAAAATAAAATTTGATTTCTTGAGTCAACGGTCTTGTTTTTACACCTGCTACTCACTGTTTAAAGTGTAAATAGGTGTACAAGCTCTTATATTAATAAAAATCTATGTAGGCACAAGAACCTTGCTTCAGAAACATATTTAAACATAATACATATCCAAAAATATATATTGTTTCAAATATATAGCTATATCATTTTGGATTCAAGAAATGTAAAACTGTATGATCTATACTAAAAAATGGGTGGGAACTTTATTTTTTAAGATAAAACCCATACTTTTAAGATAAAATCCATAACCCTTGTTTTATTTGCTCTTATAGTTAACTCTATATAATGTTTATTCACAGTAGAAACTTTTAAAAACAGAAGAACATACATCTATGGTAAATTTAAAGATATTAAGTGGTTCCAATATGTGCCATATCAAAAAATACAAAAAAAAAGGTAATTATTTTTATAGATCAGCTTTTGAGATATAAAATTGTTGACAAGCACTTATTTCTTCAAGGAATGAAGGCACAAAATAAGTTGAGCAATTTAAAGTCTAACTGAATACTAAAATATTAGCAACACTTTACCAAGTTCACTTTGGTCCAGGTTTTATTTAGACCAAATTTTTTTTTTTTTTTTTTTTGAGTTGGAGTCTCGCTCTGTCGCCCAGACTGGAGTGCAGTGGCCGCTCCCAGTCACCGCAGCCTCGACCTGCTGGGCTCCGGCGATCCTTCAGCCTCAGCCTTCCGAGTAGCCGGAATTACAGGCATGTGCTACCACGCCCGGCTGATTTTTTGATTTATTGTAGAGATGAGGTCTCACTGCCCAGGCGGGTCTCGAACCCACGGGCTCAGGCAATCCACTCACCTTAGCCTCCCAAAGGCGCGGGATTACAGGCTGAGCCACCGAGCCCTGCTTGGACCAAATGTTTTATCCAACATTTCCCCCTAATATTCCATGGATATCTTGATATTGAGAATTCTCTCCATGCCTGGGCAGCCTCCAATGAGGCAAAAACTAAACTCCCCGCCCAGATGTCAGGCTTGGATAGGAACTACAGACAGAAAGGCAAGCACGTGACTGGCCCAGCCCACAGTCAACAGCCTCAATGAATGTGCTCAGGGTTATATCATTTTGGATTTCCTGAAGATCAATACTTCAATAATGATGATTTTGTTAAGAGAAGGAATGAACACTCACCAGGTTTAAAGAACAAAGGATCATTTTTAAATAATCTCAGGGATTCGACTGAGTTTTCAAACTTTTCTTTCAAATACAATTCGCCTTGCTCAAAATCATTCTTTTTCTTGCCAGGTTTTGAGTTCCGGCACTTGACCTCATTACCCTGCTCGGTCTTAGCTTTAGCAAAGTCATCCTTTTCGCTGCTTCTGTCTTTTTCTTGGTCAGGTGCCAGCGTCCCTTTCATCATCAAGGCTTTATAAGCTTTCTCTTCTTTTACCTTTTTCATGTCCTTCTCGTAATGACGAATTCCGCTTAAATGGGAAATCAGTAATCTTGTTGTGACAGAAACCTAATTGTAAAAACATGAATATTCAATTACAATATTAAATTGTACAATAAAAAGTCAGTAGCTTTGGAATAATGTCTCGTTAATATTTTCCATTTTGACCTGATGCTGGAAAAACATCATGTACAAATCCTTAGCCTCAAATTTCAGAAAAATACCTACCCAATTATCATATGGATTAAAACTTGTCCATTAACAATAACTACAACCAAACCAAAGAACCCTATAGGAATTTTAAATATAAACTCCAGCATAAAGCATTGAACATGCCATTAGTCAAACGGACAGTGAGTTTTACTACCTTTTCACCTTCATATTCTTTTTCTGGGAATTCAGGAACATAATGCTGTACTGGAGCATCAAGATCCAGTTTCCCTGCTTCCCACAGTTTGGCAAGAGCAACCATGGTTAGGCTTTTGCTGATGCTGGCAATTCTCATGACTGTCTCTGGTTTACATGGTACACGGTTCTCAACATCAGCATAACCTAAACCTTCGGGGGAAAAAAGCAAAAAGTCACTATTAATAGACGTCATGGTCAAACAAGTCTTCAAAAACGAGAATAGAGCTATCTGAAAACGTCCTATGTATTTATCTAAAGAAAAAGATATACCACTTTTATAAGTTACTTAAAACTGGACATGAAAAGGAGGAGTCCTAGCAACACTGACACTAATAAACCTAACAACTTAATCTTATAACTGCGAATGAAACTGTACCGTAGCCGGGCTCGGTGGCTCAGCCTGTAATCCTGCACCTTTGGGAGGCTGAGGTGAGTGGATTGCCTGAGCCCATGGGTTCGAGACCCGCCTGGGCAGGCAAGACCTCATCTCTACAATAAAATAAAAAAATTAGCCGCGTATGGTAGCGTGCGCCTGTAATTCCGGCTACTCGGAAGGCTGAGGCGGAAGGATCGCCAGAGCCTTAGCAGGTCGAGGCTGCAGTGGCCGAGAGAGGCCATTGCACTCCAGTCTGGGCGACAGAGTGAGACTCTAACTCAAAAAAAAAAAAAAAAGAAACTGTACCGTTTGCAATAGTAATTTTCCATCTAATTTAAATATTAGCTTTTCTTAACTCATCTAAACAATTTATTCTACTTTTTTTTTTTTTTTTTTGAGACAGGCTGGAGAGGAGTGTTTCAATCAAGACTCACTGCAGACTTGACCTCCTGGACTCAGGTAATCCTTTTACCTCAGCTTCCCAAGTAGCTGGGACTACTAGTGCACGCCACTACACACAGTTAATCTTTTTATATTTTTGTAGAGACAAAGTCTCACTATGTTGCCTAGGCTGGTCTCGAACACCTGGACTCAAGCATTCCTCTTGTCTCAGCCTCATAGAGTGCCAGGATTACAGGCCTGAGTCACTGTGCCTGGCCAATTATTTTACATTTTAAATAAATTCATTCTTCAAAGAAAACATCATTATTCTTATTCAGATTATATTTTTATTTTTGAGTGAGTCTCCACTGAATTCCTTAAAATAGCCACCCAAGAAAAATGAATGTGAAACAATGTCCTGTGAACCAAATATAGCTAATCATTCATTTAATTCAGTTGCAAAGCAAAAGAAAAACTATGTACTGCTAATTTAAAGCTCGTTATAGAAAAAATTTTAAATTTGATTTCCATCTTCTCACAGGCTGAAAGTGTGGAAATCTAAGAAATATAAAGAACAGAGACCTGAAAAGGAGTTCAATGACTGATTTTAAACTGTAAATGTGAGCTGGGCTCGGTGGCTCAGCCTGTAATCCCACACCTTTGGGAGGCTGAGGTGAGTGGATTGCCTAAGCCTACGGGTTCGAGACCTGCCTGGGCAGCGAGACCTCATCTCTACAATAAATCATAAATTAGCCGGGCATGGTAGCGCGCGCCTGTAATTCCAGCTACTTGGAAGGCTGAGGCGGTAGGATCGCCGAAGCCCAGCAGGTCAAGGCTGTGGTAGCCGGGAGTGGCCACTGTACTCCAGTCAGGGCGACAGAAAAAAAAAAAAATTTAAAAAACTGTAAATGTGTATTATGCTGAAAAATATTTGCATAAAGCTGACATTTATAAATTTATTACAAGATTTTTCATAAATTAGGTATATTAATCAGGCTACACTTTACTTGGGGGAAAGAATCACTTTTCTTTTTTGTACAGACAGGGTCTTGCTATATTGTCTAGGCTGGCCTCAAACTCCTGGTCTCAAGTAATCTTCCTTCCTCAGTCTCCCAAAGTGCTGGGATTACAGGTGTGAGCCATTGTGCCTGGCCATTTTTCTTTAAATTCAAAGCCCTACTGCTTCCATCAACTTCTCCTAAAAGTGCTACTTTCTTCAAATGACATCTAAAATATCATTTCTTAAATGCAGAATTCCTGAAAACCTGGATGATCAATTGGATCAATTTGTGTGCAATGGAGAAGTTATAAAATAATGTTTTAATAAACGTATCATAAAAAGAATATAAATTCTTCTTCAAAAATTCATGGCCTTATGCTTGAAGAAATAGTTGATACCCCTGCCTAGCAAAAAGAGTAATAAAGGAGACTGCAGAGTCATTAAGGACAAGAAGCAGTGTCTGTCCCCAGAACATAATACAGTGCCTTTTACGGAAGAGGGGACTCAGTCAATTGTTGGCTGAATTAAAAATGAAAAATACAGAAATTCTGATGTTTTATCTACCCATAAAGGTTATCTACATAGATAATGGATTGTTCTCTACAGTAGTCCCCTAATCTGTAGTTTCATGCTCCTCAGTTTTAGTTACCCACAGTCTGAAAATATGAAATTGAAAATGCAGAAATGAACAATTCACAAGTTTTAAATTGCACACCATTCTGAGTATTGTTGTAATTGTTCTATTTCATGATTAGTTACTGTTGTTCATCTCTTACTGTACCTAGCTTATAAATTAAACTTTATCACACGTATGTATGTGCAAGAAAAAACACAGTATATATAGGGTTTGGTACCATTCAGTTTCAGGGATCCACTGGGGGATCTTGGAACACTCTCTGAGGAAAAAGGAGGACTTTCAGACCCACACATCTAGCACTAAGAGAAAAGTGGGGGTAGAAGCAAGTCATCTTTAAGGTTCCAATGTGCTGCCCGTTGAAAGAGGACTGGATTTAAAAAAACATGGTACATATACACAATGGAATATTATGCAGCCATAAAGAAAGATACAATTATGAACTTCGCAGCAACTTGGATGGACTTAGAGTCTGTAATACTGAGTGATCTATCACAGAAACAACTGAGTACCACATGTTCTCACTCATAAGTGGACCCTGAACAATTATCATAACACTGTAAGAAAGGGATTGGCAGTAGTGGGAAACTGTGGTGGGGGGGTTCGGGCGGGATTGGCAGTAGTGGAAACTGCCAGGGGAAGGTGGAGATACACCTCATCAACAAGGTGCCTGCATAATGAACATTTGTATACCTAACCCTGAATTGTACCCCACACCTTAAAATTAAAAAATAAAAAAAAGACTCCAACGTACTTAGTCACATTTTACATCTCGCTCTGATTTAAACAACTCTCTCTTCTCAGCTATGTTTTCTCTATAGTATCCAATGCTTCATGTGAACAGAACAGAATTTCATGGGATTATAACCATTAAGATATCAACATTTTACTCGCTAACTGGCACAAAACACGAAGCCACATTTTTCTGAACCCACCTTCTGACCAGACTTCTTTTCCATCTACAGAAACTCCAACCACGATGCCAGGTGCGCCAACCTCATCCTAAGAGCGAAAGGGAGAAGAATGCACGGGTCAAAGCCAGGCAGTCAGGCCCGGGCCCCGCCTCCCAGGCCCGGGCCCCGCCTCCCAGGCCCGGGCCCCGCCTCCCAGGCCCGGGCCCCGCCTCCCAGGCCCGGGCCCCGCCTCCCAGGCCCGGGCCCCGCCTCC